AAATTAAGATCAGTTGCACTGCCTATAACACATTTCTCACTTCAGATCTCAGGCCTCTGCCATAAGGTTTTAAATATGCGCGGGAAGCTTAGCCCCCCCACAGCTCCAAAATGACGTCGATTCTGCATAGCACACAAAGACCTAAAATCTAAATTTTTGTTTTAAAGGCACCCTACACGAGAAAACTTTTACTGTGGCGCTTCAAAATCTCTCATCCAATACAACCGCCTCAGCGATAGCGGGGATTCGGGTAGGGCAGTGCCCGCCCGCCTCCCCTAGCGAACGCCCGCGGCTGCAGAGATTTCTTGGGCGCCCACGTACCTCTCCCCGGCCTCCCCAGATTCCATTATACACGCCCTCGTTTTCCTCTCGGAGGCCCAGCTCTTTCAGCCACGCATACTGGGGCTGATTGATCAGGAGAGTGGACATGAAGGCGGCAGGCCTGCTCCAAGGTCCGGGGAGCTTGCTGGTCCTTGCAGCGTGCACACACAGCGCGCGGGGGAGGCGCCACATACTGAGCCCAGAACTCGGGGTGAGCCTGAGGCCTGGAAAGCTGCTCAAATAGAGCCCCGCCCCGCGCCCGGGAGAACCCATTGGGCAGACCCGAACCCTCCCACGGGGCACGCCCCCCCGGCGGCCCCAGGTCTTCCGGAGGAGCCTGCGGGTGAACCCTGCCTGGAACAATGGGAGTGCGGTAGGGAGGAGTGGGCTGCTGCCATCTGGTGAAAGACTCCGGGAGCCATGTTTTCAGCTGGGAATTCTTTTCAGTAAAATATTGGCGCTGAAGTACAAAGGGAGAGAGCTGGGGTTCTGAAACTGTAAAATGCATGTAATGACCTGGTAGTCGTGATAAATGCACATTCTGATTCAGTAAGTCTGGGCTGGGTTTGGAAAGCCGGCATTCCTAAGCAGCTCCTTGGCAATGCTGACGCCTCTGGTCCCTGGAGTAGCCAAGGGAGGGTTTGTATTGAGGGGCAGGGGGAGGGATGTTTTTAATTTTAATAAAACAAACAGGTTTGTTTTCAGTGTTTTGGTAGATTACAAATTAAAGCTTTCTAATTAATGGTAAATATTAGATTGTTGTATTTCTTTATAAATACCCTACCTGGGTATATTCTTTTTTTTTTTTTTTTTAAGACAGTTTCCCTCTCATTGCTCAAGCTGGAATACAATGGCGAGATCTCCCTTCACTGCAACCTCCACCTCCCGGGTTCAAGCGATTCTCCTGCCTCAGCCTCCCAAACAGCTGTGATTACAGGCATGCATCACCACGCCCGGCTAATTTTTTGTATTTTTAGTAGAAACGGGGTTTCACCATGTTAACCAGGCTGGTCTTGAACTCCTAACTTGTGACCCACTGGCCTCAGCCTCCCAAAATGCTGGGATTACAGGTGTGAGCCACCGCACTGAGACTCTTTTTTCTTGAGACGAAGTCTCACTCTTATCATCCAGGCTGTAGTGCAGTGGTGCAATCTCCTCTCACTGCAACCTCCACTTCCTGGGTTCAAGAGATTCTCCTACTTCAGCCTCCCCAGTAGCTGGGATTACAGGCATGCACCACCACATCTAGCTAATTTTGGTATTTTTAGTAGAGGTGGTGTTTCACCATGTTGGCCATGCTGGTCTTGAATCCCTGACCTCGTGATCTGCCCTCCTCTGCCTCCCAAACTGCTGGGATTACAGGTGTGAACTAACATGCCCGGCCTACTTTTTCAAAATATTATTTGTCACTACTTGCCTTGCAGTGTAGGTTTCCACACTGCAGCCAGAGAGTCATTTTATGTTTTCATAAAAAGCCTGTGTTTTCCTCCCACTGGGCCTGTGCCCTTGCTGTTCTATCTGTAAAATCCTTCCTTTCTTTTTTTTTTCGCTGGGGTTGAGGGGCAAGCACAGGATCTCACTCTGTCACCCAGGCTAGAGTGCAGTGGCACAATCATGGCTCACTGAAGCCTCAACCTCCGGGGCTCTAGTGATCCTCCCACCTCAACCTCCCAAATAGCTGGGACTACAGGCATGCCACCATGCCCAGTTAATTTTTGTGGGGCTTTTGTAGAGACGGGGTTCCCCCATGTTGCCCAAGCTAGTCTGGACCCCTTTGGCTCAAGCGATCCACCCACCTTAGCGTCCCAAAGTGCTGAGATTACAGGCTTGAGCCACCGCTCCCAGCCCCGTTGATCTCTGCATTCAAGCCTGAGCTTTATCTTTTCCACCCTTATAGTACAAATGATTTGAACAAACACTCTGCATGTATCAAGCACATACCAGAAACTGCAGTTAGTACTAGGCATACATGAATGATGCGTTCTTTTGTAAATACTACGTTTTTTTCCTGGTAGGGCAAGGATCATCTCTGACTCATGCTTGCATTGCTCCAGTTCCTAGCATTGTTCCAGGCCTATGCCCACTTACATGAGTGTATGAACAAATGAACCAATGAAGAATGCCCTTGAAGGGTAGCAGTGCCTGTCTGACATTGATACTCTCTATCAAAAACCTTGCTGCTGTCTTCCATCTACCCGCAGGACCACGGTGCTAATTTTTCTAATTTTAATTCTCAGACATTTGAACTGATTCCCATCACTTTCTACCAGCCAACAAGATTCTTTATCTACATATCCCAAAACCACATTCTTCCTTCTCTTCTTCTCCATTCACTTCAATGAAATGAAAACACATTTACAGATGCACTAACGTTTAGGAGCAATACAGAGTGTTATCAAGGAGTGTTAGCTTCCCTCTCTTCGAATCAAGAAGAGAAGTATGGTCATCCTTCTAAACTGATTCTGGCTGGCCGAGCACAGTGTCTCATACCTGTAATCCCAAAACTTTGGGAGGCTGAGGCAAGAGGATCACTTGAGTGATCAGAAGTTCAAGACCAGCCTGGTCAACATGGTGAAACCCTGTCTCTACTAAAAATACAAAAATTAGCCAGGTGTGGTGGTGCACATCTGTAGTCCCAGCTACTTGAGAGGCTGAGTCAGGAGAATTGCTTGAACCCAGGAGGTGGAGGTTGGAGAGCACTCCGGCCTGGGCGACAGAGCGAGACCCTGTCTCAAAAAAAAAAAAAAAAAACCAATTCTGGGAAAATAGGCACCAGCAACTGCTCACATTGAAAATAGGGATTTCATCCTTCTTCTACCTCCTTTTTTCAAAACTCCTGTAAGACCCGCAGCCAATGAAAGGAGTTCCTTAGAATTTCAGCTGGAGTGATTGCCAGTTTCTTCCCGCAGCCGCGAAATTCAAACATAAAACCGTTAAATCTCCCGGATGGAGAGAGATGAGAGGGGGGCATGGCACTAGGAAGTTCTTGCCCTTAAAACTACGCCCCCTTGTGGACCCGGAAAGAAAACACATTCCCTCAGAGGGTGGATCTCTTAAGGTCAGGAGTTCAAGACCAGCCTGGCCAACACGGTCAAACCCCATCTCTACTAAAAATACAAAAATTAGCAGAGTGTGGTGGTTCATGCTTCTAACCCCAGCTACTTGGGAGGCTGCGGCATGAGAATCTCTTGAACCCAGGAGGCAGAGGCTGCAGTGAGCCGAGGTTTTGCCACTGCACTCCAGCCTGGAGACAGAGCGAAACTCTGACTCAAAAAGAAGAAAGAAAGAATTAATAGGAGGCCTGCCATGCCACGTGGGAGACAGAATTATTACTCAAATCAATATCTGGGAGAATTCAGGGGCTACTGTTTTTCAAAGATAAGTTTGGGGCAGGGATGGAGTGGCTAAGCAATGAGTTCTCTTGCTGCTGATTGGTTGGGGAAGCAATCTTAGGGGTGTGGAAATTGTCCTCAAGCCGCTCAACAGCTTCTGTGTGGGACCACAGAAGCGGTTGGCGGTTCGCGGTTCAGGCGGAGCCACTGGTAGTCAGACAAGCAAAATATGTGAAAAGATATCTCAAATGTCGTCTTAGGGTCTACAATAGTGACATCATCTGGTAAAGTAACTGGGAAACTTGCATGCCTTGTGACCTCTCGGATGATGACTGGCAAGGGTTTTTGCCTACACCTTAAAAAATTCAGCCTCCTCTATTCTTCTACCCTGCTGGTCTCTTACTAGCTTTACAAAGGCGGTTGACTTTTGGGGAAGGGTTATTATCGTTTAAACTATAAACTAAATGTCTCCCAAAGTTTGATGGACTGGCCCAAGCCCAGGAATAATTAAGGGCAGCTTGAGGGCTGAAAGCAAGATAGGGGCTGGCTAGATCAGATCCCTCCCACTGCTATAATGCTCTCACTGTTACAATTTTTGCAAAGGCAGTTCCAAGATAATCTTTAAAGAATGGAGTGGGTTGAGGTAAGGGCCTTCCAGGCCGAGTGAACAGCAAATGCAGAGGCCTTTAGCTCGGAATGAATAAAGGGTGCCTGAGGAGCCACAGGAGCAGCCAGCGGTTGGGCAGGGGGACACACCAGGACCAGTGGCCAGATGCCCAGATCACAGGACCTTTTCTGCCAGCCTGAGAACTCAGTCCTTGTTTTGGGGAGGGATGCCCTTGGAAGATTCGAGCTAAGGTACAATCGTCCCTCGGTATCCGCAGGTCTTTGTTTTCAGGACACCACTCCCCCCACTGCAGATACCAACATCCGCCATGCTCAAGCCCCTTACTTTACGTAGAGGTGCACAGTCGGTCTTTCCCATCCGCAGGTTCGGCGTCTGTGGATAGAGAGTGGATACAGGGCGGACTATACTGCTTGAAAAGCTTCCCTGGAAGCAATACGTAGAGTGGATTGTGGAGGAGCAAGAATGGAAGCGGGGAGGCTTGACCAGAGCATACAGGCGAGGGATGTACGGCCAAAGGCGGAATCCCAGACGACCGCGACTCGTAACATATTTATGTTTGCACGAAAATGAAGTTTGGAAGAAAAGTGTTGGGGGCACAAGGGATTCATTTTTCCGGGGTAGTTCCAGTGCAATGGCGACGCCTCAAGCCGCTGGGACAGGCAGGCCTCCGCGCGGGGGCGCCCGAGCAACCTCGCCGCCGGGCCTTCCCGCCGGAAGTGCTCTCCTGACCCGCCGCCACGCAGCGCTCCGCACCGCGCCTCGCCGCGCCGGGGGAAGATGGCGTTGGAGGCCGGCGACATGGAAGATGGGCAGCTTTCCGACTCAGATTCCGACATGACGGTTGCACCCAGCGATAGGCCGCTGCAAGTGCCAGTGAGTGTGAAGGGAGGGTGGGTGGTCGTGGCTGGGCTCGCCAAGCCCGGGCCCCGGGGAGCGCGCGGGCGGCGGTGAGGGTGAGGGGTGGGAGCGAGGAGCCCGGACTGCCGGGTCATTGGCAGTAGAAGGGGCACGCAGGCGTCCCCCGGGCGGGCTCACGGAGCCCGGGTTTGGGAAGCTGGGGGGTAGCGGCGGCAGCGGCTGGGCGTGCGGACCCCGACGCGGCTACTCACTGCGAGGCGGGGCGCGCGAGCCTTGGCGCCTCCTGTAGGCGGGCTTGCGGCGGTCTCTGGGCCATCTCATCTCCACCTATAAACTTAGGGATTCCCTAGCGCCGCTGGGTGACCGTAAAGGGGTAGATTTTACCAAAAATGTAGCATCTGGGGACATCGACCCTAGACAGCCTGTGATGCTCATTTTATACCTGGACCGAAGGGAGACCGAGACGCAGGAATGAAGTTTATCGCTCACTCAGAGACCTGGTCTTCCATCTTTCCGCCGAACCTAGCTTTGTCATGCGGTACCGTGGCACTAGGTTTTTGCATTAGCTTCCCCAGTTTTGTTTGTTTGTTTGTTTGAGACGGAGTCTCACTGTTGGAGTGCAGTGATGCGATTTCGGCTCACTGCAACCTCCGCCTCTGGGGTTCAAGCGATTCTCCAGCCTTAGCCTCCCAAGTAGATGGAACTACAGGCGTGCGCAACCACGCCCTAGCTAATTTTTTGTTTGTTTGTTGTTGTGAGATGGAGTCTTCCTCTGTCGCCCAGGCTGGAGTGCAGTGGTACGATCTCAGCTCACTGCAACCTTGGCCTCTCGGGTTCAAGCGATTTTCCTGCCTCAGCCTCCCGAATAGCTGGGATTACAGGCGCCCACCGCCACGCCCGGCTAATTTTTGTATTTTTAGTAGACACGAGGTTTCACCATGTTGCCTAGGCTGGTCTCGAACTCCTGATCTCAAGTGATTCTGCTGCCTCGGCCTCCCAAAGTTCTGGGATTACAGGCGTGAGCCACCGCGCCAGACCCAGCTACCCTGCCTTCTAAATGGGAATTTGTCTTTTGACTGCCTTAGGTAAGTAGCATCCTCTTTGAGAGAGGTTTGTTGCCAGGCTACATGTGTTCAAATCCTGGTGCCACCAGTGTGTGACCTACAGCAGGTTTATTTAGCCTCACTGCTTTTTGTCTCCATTTGTGGAACTGGCATGATGTACCACTGATAGGGCTTTTTCAAGATTTTTTTTTTTTTTTTTTTTTTTTTTTTTTTTTTTTTTTTTTTTTTTTGTTTTTTTTTTTTTTTTTGAGACAGTCTCACTGTGTTGCACAGGCTGGAGTGCAGTGGCACAATCTCAGCTCACCGCAATCTCTGCCTCCCAGGTTCAAGTGATTCTCCTGCCTCAGCCTCCCGAATAGTTGGGACTACAGGTGCTGCCACCAAGCCCGGCTGATTTTTGTATTTTTAGTAGAGATGGGTTTCGCCAAGTTGGCCAGGCTGGTTTCCAACTCCTGACATCAGGTGTTCCACCCGCTTCCGCCTCCCAGAATGCTGGGATTACAGGGATGAGCCACCGTGCTGGGCCTATTATAAGGCTTCTGTGGAGCATACTGTACACTGTAATGCCTGATAAGTGTTAGCTCTGATTATTATTTGAAGATAGGAAGATAGATCATTCTAACCTCTATTTCTAGCGTAGGAGTTTAGTGTATAATACAAAAAGCAAA